CACCCGATTGCCGCGAGTGCGACCAGACTGATGTGATCCGTCGACGGCGTGTCCAGATAGGCGTTTTTCGCCTGCACGTTCGGCAAGTGCTCCGAACGCCTTCGGTCCAACTTGACTTCGGCATTCGGCACGTGCTCCGAAGGTCTTGGTTCCAACTCGACGTCCGCGTTCGTCTTTTCCACTGTTTGCACGTGCTCCGACGGTCTTGGTTCCAACTCGACGCCAGCGTGCGTCGACATCAAACTGCAATGCGGATCTTGCTTGCGTGTGCGATCGTTCAGGAGTCGGCAATGCCGTAAAAGAGGGATTTCGTAAAGTCGATCGGTAGAGGTTACGTACAAAAAGTTCCCGTGCAACCCGGCGTTCGTGATCGGTTGCTCCGTCGGGCGCATGACGTACAGAAGGACGGCCCGATTTTCTGACATCACCAATTTCAAGACTCGACCGTCGTCCGTTCCGACGAAAACGACCGTAAGGTTACCGGTCTCAGTCACGGTCAACGTCTTAAACCTGTAGTTTTGTCGAACGAGCGTAAAGAGCGGGTCCCCACTTCCGACCGGTTCGTACAGCGACGGGTGCGATTTCACGAAGTTTAGATCTTCGTACGAGAGTAGAGTCGAGTCGACCGAACAATCGCCCGGTCTGTTGTCCGGAACGTCCTCGTCCGGGATGCGTCCCCAAGGAGCCGTCGGTCGCAAGAACGGACCTCTTTCGAAGTTGTCCCTTATGTCGTCGAGGCCGAAACGGCAGATGGCCGAGGCGGGTATTTCGTGTTCCCCCGTCGTGAAAACTGCGTAGTAGAAGACCTTTCCTCCGCGGACGGTCCGAACGACGTCCTGCAGGTAGTTGAAGCGAAACGGAAATTCCCCTCGGAACGAACAGTCGAGTCGCGCCTTCAGAAAAGTCGTCCAGCTGGAGTCCAGTATCGTTCTGCCTCCATTGTCGTCGGTGCACACGCGGGCGATTCGCGAACGGTAAATCTTCTAGCAATTTTCTACGGAAACTTCTCGGAAGAAGAAAAACACTTCTCTTCCCTCTACAAACGAACCGACGAATTTCGGGTGATTCAGCCACAACGAATCGTGCCTCTTGGTTATGAGAGGAACGGCGTTGCCCATCGACCTCGTCAGTGCGGAATCCCTGCCGTTGAAATCGGCGACCGTCCCGGTGTACAGACTACCCTCCGCGAAGACGGACGTTACTTTTTGGTCGACGGCGAACGGACACTTGTACAGACCGTCCGTCGCGTTCCTTCTCCTCCAACCAATCTTCAAGTTCGACATCTCGGCGTGAATGCACTTCGGTTTCTGAGCGTTGGTTCCGCAGATAAACACTCGACCGTTCGTTAAATCTGGAGTTACGATTTTCACGTAGTTCTGGCAGTCGTGTTCTTCCTTCCCTTTCAATCTGCACTACTTTTTGGCGACCGAGTCCGGCATCCAGTCTAACTTCGTAGCCGTCGAGGATTCTAGAGTTCGATCGAGTTCGAACACGAACGCCGAGTTGTTCGCGCCCACGAACAGGATTCGCCACTCCATCACCACTCGCATTTCGACGATGGACGAGATGCCGACGCTCGTTGCGAAAGAGACGTCGATTTCGTCCGTCGAAGGCGATTGATCTTCGGTCGGCATAGGATACGCGACCGAAACTAACATCACTATCATGGCGANNNNCTAACATCACTATCAGGGCGAAGAAGAACAGCATGCCGATTGTATTCTACTTTCTGCGTCTCGCGTTCATATGTTGATTTCGAAGCAAGTTGTTTCCTTTTAAAGAAGAGATCGTCGAATATAAAAACAAGAAGAATAATTTTTTCGGGTAGCATTGTTCGTTCGCGACGAACCATGGCGTTGACGTTCAACATCAAACTCGGAGAAGGAAGCGGGACGTACAGGGCGAAAAATGGATTGAGACGTTGGACGGTCATGTCCGGCTTCGTACAAGGTTTCGCGGACTTTAGACTCGGATGCGGAGAAGACGTCTGTAGTTCCGGCGGCCAGATACTGTTGGATATCTCCTCCGTCGCGACGTGTTCGCGCCCGATCGCAACGACCGTGAGGTTGTTGCGGTTTCTGGACGAAGACTGCAAGTCGGAAGAGGACTTGGGCGACCTGAACGCGTACGTGTTCGCCTTGTCCGTCGCCGCATACCTGCTTCTGAACAAAGATCTCAAAGATGCGTTGATGGAACAGACCAAAAGCAATCTGCTGGTGTGCACGAAGAACTTCCGCATCGAGGAGATCAACGAATTCGCGTCCAATCTTATGATGTGCATGGACCGATCTATGGCGAACGATCGTCGATGCCTGGATCTTCTCGGCTGTTGCGAACCGTTCGTCTTCGAAGGTCGAGTGACGGAGGCGCTGAACGCCGTCGCCAGGAACGGCTTCGAGCGACCTGTTGTGCAGGTGCGGATGAACTTCAGAAACGTCGTCGCTTCTCTCGGCACCACCTCGCTGTTCCATCTTCGATGGACCGAAGGTCGAGGACGCGATTGCCAAATTCTGTGGTGGGGCATCTTGAACGCCGACGAGACCGAGAATCGACTATACCTGATTTTGACGTTCAACCAGGAAAAGTGGTGCAATTCGGTTCTGACCGACAAGCGGACGGTGCACGCCCTGTACGAACTAGCACCTAGGTGGCCGAAGTTGCTGAAGTGGACGACAGTGTGCGACGACGTCTCGTGCTACGAGTGTCCTCTGAAGCCGTGTCTCGTTTCAATACCGGAAACGAACTCGGTGTGGTTGGACGTCCACGCGTGCCATCCAAGAAGGGTGCGAAGGGGATACCGCATCTCGTTGGCGGAAGATACGATCGGTTCCGCGACGGCCGACGAGCTCCGCGAGCACACCGCCAAGGAGTTGAACGAGTTGATGCGTCGGAAACGCATCCTCGACGAGAAGCTCCGTTCCGGATTGGAAGCCATCGACAGGTTGGCGTCCGACGTGTGCAGCACTTTGACCACCGATGTTACGGGTAGAAGGAAACGTTTTCACGAGGAGAAGGCCGACGCTGCGAAGAGAGATCTGGACCTTCGCATCGAGCAACTTAAGGCGATCGTCAATTCGGACGAGCGGGCGAACCGGATGAGGTGCGGTCCGCCGTCCGACGTTCTGGGACGCATCCCCGTCTTGCGGCCTTTACCGGACGTTCTGTCGAACGCGGTTACGTTGGAATTGTCAATTTACTACAGAACGCACCTGTACCAGGAGGACGTGAGGATCCTGCCGAACTTCGTTCACGGACAGGCGAAAAGACAAAAACGGGCCGCGCAAGGTATTGCGGGTCAGTAACTAACATGCCGCCGACCGAACGAACCGACTCTCGAGAGGCGAGACGCCTGCAACCGAAATGGATGCAGGACAGAAGGAGGGAACTCTTCGCCGAATTCGTAAACCATTTCGGCGACACCGATCTTCTTCGTAGGACGTTCCCGGAGAGAATGGAACCGTGTCGACGACCCCTTCGAAGTCGTCGATGCTTCGAGAAATGCAAAGGTACTTTAATCAGAGACTGTCTGAACGTCTTCCACCTAGTTCAAAGCGAGGAGAGGGAATTGCTGCTCTTCCTGAAGGTGTGGGACACGGTCGTGTTCGTCGAATGCGATCTGTCGGATCGATTTCGACCCCAGAGTTATTCCGTCTCCCGCTTCGAGAGACAGATACGGTTCTCGTGTGCGAACTACCATAAATTACCCAAAACCAGACGTACGTACCAACGAACGAACGAACGAATGAATGAATAAATAAATAAAACTTGAACGAAAAAAAAAACATAAACCGGTGTGTGTGACTTTCAATTTTTTAAGTCTGTCTTTCTTTATTGTTTTTCGATGATGAGTCGATCGATTTACGTCGTCTGACGTGACTCCGCCTCGTCTTCGACTTTCCAACGTCTGCAAGATGTCCCGGACCGAATATCGCGGTCCGTCGAGAGACGTCAGACGACCGGCCCTCGATCTTCCTCGGCAATACTTGAACCCCACGGATCTTCCGCCAGTCCTGTACACGCGATACGTTTAGTCCGCGGACGCTCCGATGGGCTTGTTGGGCAGGAAGGCGCCCGTGGAGGCTGTGTACGCGGTGGAAGCTCCGACCTCCGAGGACGACGTCCCGCTCGACATGAGATGGCCGTCGAAGGCGGTGGTTCTCGACGAACGACAGGGAGTCCGGTGCAACGTGTCCTTTTCGAACGCGGTGTCCATGGGATGTCACGCGCTCGTCAGGCGCGCGTCCGGAAACAGGACCGCGTGGCGCATCCTGGACACGAAGACGATAGCGTACGTTGGCGAAGAGGCCGTTCGCTCGGAAACGGACGTGTCGGCACGCATCGCGTCTGAGCCGGTAACGACCTGTCTCTCCGTCGATTACGACGAGTCGTTGCACTACGCCCTCCGAGCTCATTTCGGCGACCGGTACTACGACCCCGTCCTGGACAGGATTTCGGTGTCGACTGTCACGATCAGAACGGGACGGCAACCGGAGAAGCTGCTGAAGGAAATGACGGCGAAACTGACGGCGTGCAAGGTGTTTCTCGTCAGCGGGTGCTGGCTTTCGACGAACAGAACCTTCTACAGGACGACGGCCGGATGGAAGTACGGCGGCTTGACGTCGACGGAGCTGTTCTCTCACGGCGGAAAGAACATGGAACGTCACGTCGTTCGGCACGATCCCATGAGGTGCGAGATGTGCGTGGAGGAACACTCCAGGTGCTGTCGACCGTCGCATCTATGCTACGGGTCGACGAAGGCGAACGTCAAGGATATGCGTCTGCGCCAGGGCGTGGCCGACATAGTGAACGGCCTGCACGACGACCGAAACCGCGAGGCTTTCAGAAGTCTTATCGATTCTTTCGCCAAGCTCGTGATGGACAAGGAACTTTGAAAAAATATTTAATTATTAAAGATAAAAACAAACGAAACAAAGTTCGAATATGTTGGTGCGTGTGCGTGTGTGGGTGTATATATATATAAATATTTTCGTTTAACCAACAATTCC